TGATCTTCAGAAATCATTCTAATATGCTGATTTATTATTAGAATTATCAACAGTTGTGCAGCCAAATATTTTTAAGTTACGCCTTCTTTCTTTGCGTGAACGTTTGGGCGGCGTTATGCAAATCTTCTCACATCGTGACGTAGACATGTGGGGTGTGTTAGAACGAGCCGTTTTAGGTAGGCGTGGTTGACTCTTAACTTTTATAAAGAATATCTCTTTGGATTTGAGACTTTAGTCTTTGCAACTTTACAGATCTTCTTTATGCACCAAGAGCTTGTAACACTCCAAAGAGAAAGGAAAAATTGAAATCGCATCATATGACCCCTTTAAAGGTGTCTCCGGTGCAGTGTTGAATGCGTGTATCTAATGTTTTTTGCATGTTTGACGAGTTAGTTTTTACACTTTTCTTATTTCATTACAGATTTGTAATTAGATCTTAGATTTGCTTTTCTATAGACTACGGAGCTTATAGGTACTTATTTTGACAGCTTCCTGGGATACTTGATTCTGATTGGTCAATCGCTGCATTTTGCAGTCAACTGTTTTTGTTATAATGATGGCTCAACTAAATACTGGCAACCACGTTTATGTATAGCTGTGCTACTTTTATGTCTCTTTCTTCTCATTTAATAATATCATTTTAACTTAAATCATATTTAATGTCCATTTATTTATTTACTAAGTAATAAGTGTGATAATGTGTAGTTAGATTGTCATTATTGCAAAATAAATCTCTTTAATGATCATATAATGTCCTGAATATCCTGTTTGTTTGTTTGCTTATTTATTTATTTATTATTACACTACCATGCAAAAGTTCAGGGACAGTAAGAAATTGAAAGAAATTAATACTTTTATTCAGAAAAGACATTAAATTTATCAAAAGTGACTGTAAAGTAAAGACTAAAATCTAAATGCTGTTCTTTTGAGCTTTCTATTCATCAAAGAAACCTGAAAAAAATTTATCTCAGTTTCCACGAAAATATTAAGCAGCATCTGTTTTCAGCATTGATTATAAATAATGTATCTTAAGCACCAAATCAGCCTATTAGAATGATTTCTGAAGGATCTTGTGACACTAAAGACTGGAGTAATGATGCTGAAAACGCCGCTTTGCATCACAGGAATAAATTACACTTTTAAATATTTTGAAAACAGAAACAGTTATTTCAAATTGTATTATTTCATAATATTAGTTTTTACTGTATTTTAGATTAAATAATTGCAGCATTGATGTAATCTTTAACATATCTGACCAGACCTCCTTCTAAATTTTGGATAATTTTTTCACTTACGCAGGCCTCCAATTCACGTCAAGGAGGAGCCACTAAACATGGATGACGAGGACTGTCCGATGTCATTGGTGACCACAGCCAATCACAGTCCTGAGCTGGATGAGGACCGGGAGCTTGAGGAAGGCAACCTATCGGAGGACCTGGAATGACTATTTTGCCCCACCCCTCCGCCGGGTCTCTGCCCCTTTCAGGCCTCACCCCTCAACTAATCCACAACCACCGCAAACGCAGAAAGACTGGACGCAGCAGGCAGGAGTATTTATTTAGCATGCATCTGGAGACTGGCCCGAAGAAAATCTATAGCGCAGATCTTTAGGGACCACAGATGGACAGACATGAGACGTCTGCTTTTTAAAAACAAACATAAAAGGAAGAACAAAAGGACAAGATTTCGTTCGAATCAGCTCGGCCACCTCACACAACGAACACAAGGCTCACGGACCGAAAAAAGACAGAAGTGAAACGGGAGCAAGCCAGCGGCCACATATACTGCCAAAAAAAGTTTTACGTTTGTGAATATCCAAGCCACAGTAGTCATCGGTGTTAGATTGCAATTGCTGGTTCAATTCAAGTTGTTGCTCTGTTATTTTTTGCACATGAGTAGTATCAAAAATTAGTGTCACTGTCTGTATGTCGACAATTTTAAAAAGGAAAAAAATCCGTTTTTTGTTGTTGTTGTTAATTTTTTTTTCCCCCATCATTGTTGTTTCGTTCTTCCCGCGACTTAGCTTACGTTCATTTCGAGTCATGTTTGCGGCACCACCAACTGTAAATGGCATTTCTTAAAATCACATCAATAACACAACCAAGGTATCAAGACTGTTGCAGCCATCCAAAAAATGTACACAAAGTAGGTCTCGAGTCTCACTAGCTCCGTTTCTACTGAAAACGTGAAATGTGATGCTGAGAGGAAAAACACGAAAGAAAAAGATGCGTTTCTGCATATTCTTCTAGTCTCTTTACCTCCTTTATTCTAAAGCTTTGTCTACCTGCAAAGAGTCACGGGCAACAGCTAGAAACCAAAGCCAACACTATCAACGGCAAATAGCTTAGACAGAAGCCGCCAGACTCTTTGGTCAGTCTTCTGTGACTTTAACTAGTACAAAGAGAAGATTTTTTTCCACTAACTACCTTCGAATAACCTCTGGGATTGTCTCCTTTAGCCCTGTACAAAGATAAAATGATTTTGATGTAATTTGATCGACAGACGGAGCGCTCGCTCTGGCCTCGTGATGTCGGTCGACCCTGAATAAAACGGGAAGACCTCGATTCAGCGACCATCATGTGGTCCGGGTAGAGCAAGAGAGCAGCTATAAATGGATCATGACCAAAATAACCATTTGTGGAAGTGCAGAAAACATTACTTTTGTATTATTTTTTTTATTATGATTTGCGTAAGCCATCTTGTCATCGTTTTTACTAGTGAAATGTACTGTTCATTGTGACTGTCCAACGTGTCATGTCTTATATCCATCAGTTTCTTCAGAGCCGAAACCGAAAATATAGTAACCAAACTTTAAGATATCTAGTGAAGCCAAAAAATTCATGATTTCAAGTTGATATGAAATGATGTGGCTTGGTTATATTGTAAAAGCAAACAACAGAGCCATGACAGGAAGAGGACGAATCCTTTTCCAGCTGACGTTTGCTTTGCTCCATTGATTCAGACTCATTGTATAATTCATGGCTATATAGACACAGCTCGTGTTGGATCATGGGAAGGTATGTGGTTAGACCATGTATGGTGTATAAGTAGCAACCGTTTATTTGAGGTGAAACGCTTTTATTTGAACGTTGCTGATGTCATCGAGGAAAAGCGGTTGTTGCTTTAAAGTTTGTTTCTGTTTTCAGTCAAACCAAAGTTATACAGATTTCTGCCTCGTCTTATACAGTGGATGGAGATGAAAATAACGTAAAGCCTGTTTCTTTTTCTTCTCTCTCTTTCTTTGATAGTTCTCTAATGCAGAAACCCCATTTGAAACGGATAACTGCTTTGTGTTGTAACCAATAATGTCAAAGTTTGTCTCTGTGTGTGTGAAACATACTGTGCAGTTGTTCCCGTTTCGTGCCAAACCGAAGGGTTGGCTGCTAGTTTTAGCACAAACACACTCACTCTCTCACACACACACACACACACACTAATAAGACAGCGAAGCTGGATCCAGGAACAAAGCATGTCCCTTATCCTTTGCTGGAGTCACCAAATTGACTTGAAGATGACATTCATAATAATTTTATGGCACCAAATATAAGGACGCAGCGTCTTTGAATAAGAAGATACAAAAAGGGTTCTACCTCTTCACAACGCGAAAAAATGGCGAATTGTTAGAACGCCACCGACACATTTTCCCACCAGATTCACGCAGGACGTCGCCAAAAGCGCCAGTTTACATTCCCTAAGGCAGATGTGGAAGGTTTGCATTGAACTAGTTTGTCCTCAGACATTTGTAGAATGAATATGTAAAAAAATACCTGTAAGGGGATATTGTTATTAAAAAAAAATGCATGACTAAAATTCATTCGGTGGACTGGAAATAAGAATTAATAAACACGTATAATAAAACGTCAGGATGATGATGTTGATGGACTTAAGTGCATAAAGTGTGCATACCTCAGCTATACGGTTTCCGGGAGGAGATGATTGTGATTATGATTATGATGATGATCGACAAAAGAAACTCTCAGCCACAGAATGCATTTACCTGTAGAGTTTGCATGGGTTTTGTAAAAACATTTTTAAAAATGTTTAAAATAGTTGCTTGCACATAATACCAGAAGAACCTCCAGATCGGCAGTCTCCTCCAATAGATTTTAGGATTGTCTGGGTTTTTTCTGGGGTGATTTTGTCTGTATTTTGATAATTGTGCATATTATGTAAAAAGATACAAAAAAAATGTTGGTGGACCCATGAATTTACCAGACTTTTTTTTTTTCTAAGCTAAAAAGATCAGTGTTTTTTTTTTCCTCCTGAATTTCATGAATTTTACTGTTCTCTCATTGCTTGCTAAGAATAGCAAACCTGCTTTTCCTGCATCTGCGTTGCGTAGCTGTAAGGCTTTTCCTAATGTGTGTATTTATTGCTTGTACCTCTGTGCATACGTTCTGAAGCATTACGTCTGGCAGTTGAGTCATGTATCCTTTCTAATATCTATCATTCTCCGGGAATATGATCCCCTATGTATACAGTAAATTGGGACTGTAGCAAAAAAAACATGTTTATGTAATTGGTGAAAACCTTTTGGTTGTTTTTGTCTTTTCGTTTGGTTTCGTTTCCTTCTAATCGAGACTCCTTTTTGATACTTTTCATTACCGTGTACTGTGTCCATATGTTACGGATTTCTGCGAGAGTAGAGGTCACGATTGAGAACTGTACGGCCGTTATTATTTTCTGTATTCATGGCTTTTCACTGCTGAATAAAATAAAGGACCAAAACTAGGATTTGAAAAGCAACTGTCTACCTCCAACATCAGGGAGTTCTTACTTTTTTGTACACATATATCTTTTATTCTACAAAGACGCAGCCTGTGGAAATGGGGCTGCATTATGCTTTTATGCAACGTGGAGGAATTCGTCGCAGGAACTTAAAAACAGCTCGGAAAAGAGATGTGGGGATGTGGGTGTGGGGGGGGGGAGACAATAAAACTTTAATAGCCGACTTACACGGCTTTGTTCCGGCTCTCGGCACCTCCGGTGTTGTTTAGACGAGGGGAGGAGAGGAGCCGGAGGCCCCCGTGCAGCCAGAGGTGCGCGTGATGGACGCGGCCCGTGTTCTCCGCCCTCGCCTTTGATCTGAGGAGAGCGTGGCCCGGCGCAACTTACTTGAAAAGGCTATTTGGGATGCAGTCGGCCCTTCTGTGGTGGAAACGGCTCATCTTCATGCGTATTTGCTATGTTTTTGGCCCCCAGTTGAGCTGCAGCGTGTGTTTAATTGAACGCTGAAAGCAAGGCGTGAGGGAGCGGTTTATTTCCCAGAAATAATGCACAGCGTTTGTATATAGCCGAGTCGCTGAGATCATTTGTTAGTAACTTTCTACACATTGTAACCAAACAGGATTTAAAATAATAATTTCAGACCGACGTTTAAACCTCAGTCTGAAATATTAACATTAGGATTTAAAATATTCTAAAACTATAAAACTTAGCAGAGCCTGTCTGACACTGATGTAGGCTACTCTGCAGAGGTGAACTGTGGCAAGGAGGTCATTTAGAGTGACAGCTGCCCCTGATATTCCCTGATTTTATGACATTTTATTGAATGTCTGACGGTGTTGACAAAAAGTGGGGACGCAACTTAAAAATCTTATTAAACATGCATGTGTCATTAAAAAACAACCTTGATAGGAGATATTATTAAGTGTTGCTTTTGATAAAACAAGCTCTTTTTCATCATTAAAAAAAAACATTTTTATCCATTTTATTGCATATGAATGATTGAACCCTTCTCTGTGGACACACTGTTTTAGTTGTAGTGAGAGGACATTAAGAAACATAGATTTGGTATAATAATGAGAAAATTAAATTGAAGGTGATAATTGTGTTAAATACATTCTATTGTTAATCCCTCATGACATTTAAAATTGAAAATATTTTTATTTTTAAACCTAATAGCAGTTATCCTTGCTGGACCTGTTTTGTCCCATGTCTCAAGAATGACTGACCTACAGATGTCGTAGGCTACTTGAAATGGTCTCTACATTTTAAGTGAGTATAGGAGAAAGGAATCTTAAAGGAATAGTTCACGCAAAAGATAAGATTTGCTGAACATTTACTCACCCTCAGGCCACCCAAGATGTAGATGAGTTTGTTTGTTCATAGTAGGCTAACATATTTGTAGATATTCAGCATTAAATCACTTGCTCACCAGTGGATCCTCTGCAGTGAATGGGTGCCGTCAGAATGAGAGTCCAAACAGCTGATAAAAACAAATCCATCAATAAGGCATTTTAATTTAAACCTTTGCTTCTGGCCAAACTACGAATCCTCTATTCATAATATTGCTTTCTTCAGTGAAAAAGTCCATCCCCTGTTGTCCTCTCACATCAAAATCCACCAAAATATTTGTTTAGAACCGTTTTGGCCGGTTTGGACTTGTAAACGATGCTTGATCTGTGCATGTTTCTCTCCTGATTCAGACAAGATGACGTTCTCAATGGTCAAAGCAATTGTATAAATGAAGGACTCTTTTAGTTGGAAGCAACATTTGAAGTTAAAAATGTCTTGATGGATTTGCTTACTACCAACACACAGCTTTTGCTTCACAAGATGTTAATTGGTGGACTGGAGTGGTGTGGATTATTGTGATGTTTTTATCAGCTGTTTGGACTCATTCTGACGGCACCCATTCACTGCAGAGGATCCATTGGTGAGCAAGTGATGTAATGATACATCTGTTCTGATGAAGAAACAATCTCATCTACATCTTGGATGGCCTAAGCGTGAGTAAATTTTCAGCAAATTTTCATTTTTTGGTGAACTATTCCTTTAACATTTAAAAAAAAAATGCACTGTACCTTTATGTGTGTGTTAAACGATCTTATTTCTTATCCTGGATTTACTCTGATCAAACAAATTAACCCTTTTCCCAAGGAAACGGCACGTTTTACTCGGGGTCAGCACAGACAGATGTGATTTAACCTCATTTCTGCCTTTG